GGACATTTGGCCAGGTATCCTACAAAGTTATGTGTTGATCAAGTCCAAAATGTATCACAAATGCCCTGAATTCCCTGGAACCGGGCTCTTGTTCATCTCTCCAGCCTCATCTCTTCTCATTGGGTCTCTTACTCTCTCTTCTCTCCAGTTACACAGCACTTTATTTTTCTTTCTTTTTCTTTTTTTGGCTTCCTTTTTTTGAGGTTGTGAAATGGGAAGAAATTGTTCAGAAGGAAAGAGGAACTAGGGTGGGGGAAGGGCAAACAGGAAGGAAGGGAACAGGAAAATGTGACAAAAGAAAAAATCTGTTCAGAGTCAGCTGCTCTCTGGCTTCTTGAACCCGTTCCTTAGTGTGACACTCCCATCCATCCCTAATTCTCTCTTTTCCCCACACATGCACCCAGGGTATGGATCTACAGTATTTAATGTTTGCCTTGCTGGAATTTGGACTTGCTTTGGTCACTTTCCTTTCTGTGCCCCTATTTGTACCTTTTGGAATAGAAATGTTTATCTGGTGCTATTGTGTTGGAAGTGTTTAACTTTTCATTTGTGTAAGGAGCTCACAGAAAAAGTTTGCTTTAAATCTCAGAGGAACATTTAGACTTGGGTGCTTCAGCAATATTGAAACTGATAGGACTTCGGCAACTCTTAGAAATGGACTAAATGAATTTTGTGTAAAAGGATTCATATGAGTGCTTTGCATCTAGATGTCTCCCAAAACCTCATGTGGTCATAGATGGGGCTTTTTGGAGGTGGCTGGATTTAAAGTATGTGATACTGGGATTAAGGGTGTGTAATTGCTAAATGGGTTTAGTGTGATTCTGAGCGTGGATAATGGTAGCCCTATTGATTCTGGTTGAAACTAATCAGCTTATAACCTGGATAGAATATAAAGGGAAGGAGGGAGGGGAGAGCAGGTGTGATGTTGTAGCTGTTTGCTTTGCCATGGACCGTTTCTCCTCTGTGTCCCTCTGACATCCCTCTGCTGTGCCACCCTGTCTTACAACCAGCTGACTATGGACTAAAACCTCCACAAATGGTAAGCTGAACTAAAGCTTTCCTCTTTCATCTTTGGATGTCAGATAGTTTGTCTCCGCAATGAGAAGAGTGAGAAAGACAGTATGGTATTGGTACAAGAATAAGAATATAAAGAATCCATAAAATGGTCTACATATGTGTGTGTCTGTGTGTAAGTTTACACACAAGTGATTTATGGCAAAGAGGACATTGTTTAACAGTGGGAGGGACTTAACTAACCAATGATACAGCAATGACTGGACGTCCACCTGGGGAAAACCAATGTTGGTCTTTATCTCACACTGTACACACAAGTTAGTTATACATCTTAAAGATATAACAATAAAGCATCTAGAAAAAATAAAAGAAATTGTTGTTATAATCTTGGATTTAAAAAGTGTCTCAACTAGGACATGAAAGTAGTAAATATAAAATGATTAACAAGTTAGCCTACATTAAAATTAGCAAAATTAACAGTAGTGGTATTTATCAACTATTGCCAGCAAGAGAGTAAAAGGCAGTGATGAGACTAAGTGAAATAATCCAGATTTCAATCCAGATTATTGACAAAACACTAATGTAGACTGTACTCAGGAAATCTATGATTGAATGAGAGAAAAAGATCACGACTAAGCAAAATGCTTAACAGCACTTTAAATGAAAGGGTATTTAAATGGGCATTAATCTATGACAATATGTTCAAAATCATTGGTAATCAGGAAATACACATTAAAAACATAGTGACTTCCACGAACCATCTAACATACAGACCACCCCTGGTGCTCACAAAGGTGTGGAAACTTGAGCTCTCACACTGCTTGTAGGAATGTGAGTTGTGCAACCACTTTGAAAAGGAGTTTCTACCCAAAGTTGGAAAATGCACCCCCAATACCAGTAATTCTAGTCCTCAGTCTTTGAAAGACATGTATGACAGTGTCTTTAGCAATATTTCTTGTGATAAACAAAAATTAGAAGAAGCTCAGATGCTCAACTTCCCATTGAAATAGAATGGTGAAAGAAACTGTGGAATATTTTAAATAGCTTTTTATTAGCACATCTTTGCAGTAATAATATTTATATTGCTGGTGGGGTTGGTCATTTGCATAACACGTACCAATTGTTTTTTGCCCCCTTTCCCCTCTCCTTTCTACATCTCTTGATTCCCTTCCTATTTAAGAATTATTTATCTTCCTGCTTCCTGTTATTTATCTTTTATTTTGCTCTTTTTTATATATTGAGTTTCTCATGTAAGAGAAACTTATGTGATATTTAAACTGTGTATCTGATTTATTTCACTTAACATTACATTCTCAAGGTGCATTCATTTTTCTATAAATCACTCAAGTTTGTCTTTCTCTATGACATGGTGCTCCATTGCATATAACATTTTCATTGTTCATTTACTTGTTGATGGACATATAGGGTGCTTACAAAACCTAGCTTTTAATATACGAATTGTGCTTCTACAAGCATGGGAATGTATCTATCATTGTAAATTGATAGCTGGGTCCAGTAGAATTTCTAGTTTTAGTTTATTTGAGGAGTTTCCATACTGGTATCCGCAGTGGTTTTACTAGTTTACATTTCCACCAACAATGTAGATTAGTTCCTTGTTCCCTGCAGCCTCACCACCACTTGTTAATATTTGATTTTTTAAATGATGGCCATTCTTACTTACCACTGAGATGGAATCTCAGTGTTCTTTTAACTTCTTTTTCTCTAATAACCAGGCATACTGAACATTTTTTCATGTATGTAATGGCCATTTGTATTTCTTCTGTGAGATATCTATTTGTTTCTATTTCAGGGGACCTAATTCTTATTGAGCTCTTTGTATATTCTAGGTATTAGTCTTTTGTCAAAGGAATAGGTGGTGGAATGGATTCCTCATTCTGTAGGCTGTCTTTTTTATTCTGTTGGTTGTTTCTTTTGCTGGGCAGAGCTTTTAAAATTGCTATCATATTTGTTGTTTCTTGGTTCTATTTTCTATGCAACTAGGGTTCTGTTCAGAAAGTCCATGCCTATGCCGGTGACTTCAAGAGTTTTATCTATTTTATATTCCAGCAGTTAAGTATTTCCATTTAAAAATAAAATTCTTTGACCTATTTTGATTTTGGTTTAGTGTGCTGTGAGATACACTGGTCTAGATTCAGTCTTCTGAGTGTGGCTAGTTTTCTAGCACCATTTATTAAAGATGCTATCTTTCCTTCAGTGTAGGGTTTTGGTCCTTTTGTTAAAGATCACATAGTTGAATAAGCTTGGAATTGTTTCTGCATCCTCTCTTCTGTTCTATTGTCTGTTTTGGTGTCACTATCAAGCTGCTCATCTTTTTATTTTTTTAAATTGTTGTAGCTTTGTACTGTAACTTCAGTTCCGAGACTGTGATGCCTCCTAATTTGCTCAGGACTTCCTTTGCTATTCTGCGTCTTTTCTGGTTCCATAGATTTTACGATTGTTTTCTCAATTTTTGTAAAGGATGTTACTGGTATTTTGATAAAGATTGCATTAAATTTATATATTAATTTTGGATATATGGCAATTTGAACTATATTGATTCTACCTATCCAGGAATAAGGGATATTTCTCTATTTTATTTCTCTTCATTATGCCTATTTTCATTTACTTTTTCAGAGTACAGTAGCTTGCAATGTAGAGGTCTTTTACTTCCTTAATTAGGTTAATTCCTAAGTATTTGATTTCTCTTGGTGCAATTGTGAATATTTTTTCCCTTGATTTTTTTCTCAGTGGATTCATTATTAATGAAGTAATGTGATTGATTTTTCTATGTTAATTTTGTATACTGCTACACTGCAGAGTTTGTTTATGAATTTTGGGAGTCTTTTGGTGAAGTTTTTGGGTCTTCATGTACAGAATCATAGCATATGCAAATAATGATACCTTGGTTTCTTCCTTTCCTATACATATCCTTTTTATTTCTGTTCCTTTTTCTAATTGTTCATGCTAATATTTGGAGCACTGTGTTAAACAGGAGTGACAGTAGTGTTGTTCTTGATTTTAGAGGGAAAGGTTTCCATTTTTTCCCTATTTACTATGATGGGAGAAAAGCATATTCCATGATCCCAGCTACAGAAAATTCAAAATTAGACAAAACTGTGATTATCATTGGGGAAGACTGACAGAAAGGGGATAAAACAAGTTTCCAGAGGTCTGTTATTGTTTTATTTCTTGACCTAAATAGAGTTTTCATAGAGATAGTCTCTGTAAGAAACTACACAATAGTTTATGTAGCAGATGGTCAACGTAGAATTTGTTAATTTTCTGAACATATGTTGTACTTAAATAAAATAGTCAATTGTTTTGAAAAAAAAAGTGTATACTTCATTTATATCTGGAGGCAAGCAAATAGGCAAGAATAGAAAAAGGAGAGTCCTAGCTGTGTTATGAAGTTGGTACAAAATGCACTCAACGAAAGGCTGGCTAGATTGGAGAGTGAAAGACAGGAGGACAAAAGGATTTTGTTTTTCTTCTCTTTTCCTGCATATCTTAGGTGATGAAATTGTCAGCCAGGCTGTCGCATCACTGGTACTTACAGCAGGTTTTTAATAGCTTGTCTGTATTCGTCCCAGTGAATCGGTGAGGATTTTATTGCCTGGGGAGTTCAGGAGGTTCTTTCTTGCTTTCTGCTCTCTTAGCTAGCTGTTTTGCCATGCTGAAGTCAAATCACAGCTACTGCTGAAGAGGAGAAAAATCAATACAGGACTTGAGTTTATTTGGTTTGATCTTATGACTTTCTTTCGTGAAATAATTTCTAGAACTGGGATCCAGAAAGTGATCCAGAAAGTGAATCAAATAGGAAGTGCCTGCAGATGTTTTATTATCTTTGCTCCACCACCCCCACCTTTGAGTCACCCTGCCTGGGATTTTTTCTCCTGTATTAGCTCCAAGGAAAGCCTTGCAGACACAGCCTCTGTCGCCCCCTGACCACAGACACACTCTGCCAGGGGTGAATGAGTTCAGATTCCTCTTCTTCAGCTTGAACCAGGCTTGGGGTGAGTGTTCAAGAATTCATGGATAGATTCACCACGGTGGAGCAGCAAGTGCCAGCAACTCCGTTTCTCCAGGAAAGTGTCTAGAGTATTGAAAAGGGAAACTTGGAGAGGAATCACAGGGAGAGGAGGTTTCAGGGACCAAGAGGCAACTGACAAAAGAAGGAAAACAAAGATTGAAAGATAGGGAAGAAATAGAACACATTGCAGGACAGAGGGGACACTCCACAAACTGTGGTTGGGAGTGCCTTGCCAGCCACCACCCAGGAGGCAAAACGAAACTAAAACTTTTTCACCCACAGAGAACCACACTGGGACTGAGTCAGTTAGTAGTTGGAACCTACAGTGAAAGCAGGGGATTCTGCTTCTGGAGAGGCCTTCTGGTTCACATTTGGTGAGTGTTCTTGGTCGACTGTCCACTGCCATAATGTGGAATGGCAGCTGGTAGGGAAGGCCATCACTGGGACCCATTAGTGTTTGAACTTGGGTCACAGAGCAGTCCCTTGGCTCCAAGCCAAGACCTACACAGTTGAGTTCCCAGAGTGGACAAACGACAGCTGTGGGGGATGGCTGACTGTCAGAGAGCAGGCAGGAGGGAATCTCACTGCGAGACTGATGTGGGTAAACACGAGTCTGGCTTCTGTGGTCTGAATGTGGTTCAGCCTAAGTTTCCCCCATTTTTATTGCATTATTTCCCTTCTTTTCTTTCTTGTGTGTGTGTGTGTGTGTGTGTGTGTGTGTGTGTGTGTGTGTGTGTGTGTGTTTGTGTGTGTGTCTTCCTCCTGCTTTTTTATTTTGCTCTAATGTGTCCAGTTTCTTTTGCTCTAGTTTACCTAGTTTAGGGAAGGGAATCTCCCTTGATCCTTATTACTTCTTCTACCTTTTACCATATTTTCTTGCCTGATTTATGTCTTCTGTTTCTTACCTTTTATTCTCTTTTTTCTGTCCTCTCCCCCCTTTTCATTGGTCTCCTTTTTTATCTATTATCTTTTTTAGTCATGTAGTGTCTCTTTCCCCTCTTCTCACCACAGATTTTGTACCCAGGCTTCCTTGTAATCCTCACCTAAGACACAATGCACCCCAACACCACTAGAATCCCTTGCTCCCCTTTTATTTCCTCCATCCCACACCACCTACTGGAAGACCTTTAAAAACTTCTTTTCTTTTCTTTTTCCTTCTGTGGTATTACCTAGTCCCTGATCCCCTGAGCTTTATAACTGATTCTGTGAACTTGCTGTTGAATGCTTTTTACCATTAGAGGAAACATAGCTATTATGTTTAGAGCATATTAACTGTCAGTCAACAGTTGGGTCATTGTGATGCCTACACCATAACCACAGATTTCTTCTCTAGATTTAAGAGGCATCCAAAATTGGCTCTCATAGTATATTATTTCTCAGATTGCCCTGATAGATACTCTGCAACTGACCAGCTTGCTCTTACTGTAGCTGACTTGATTGCATTGGCATATTCTGGACTCAGTGGACAATTTCATGTGAGTGAATCTGTCTGCAAATTTCACCATCAAGGAGAGGGACAACACGAGTTTCTAACCCAAGAACTCTGCAAACAGGCGTGCAATCTGGAAGAAAGAAGTGCTTCAGTGTTGCAATGGATGGACCAGAGGAGTTACTGCTGTGTGAGGAGTCAGATTCTGGCCAAGAAGCTACATGTGAATCATATATGCACTGATTCACTGGAATATTTAACCTGTGTTCTTATCAAAAATTTTATAGGTCTGAGTTTTTGTTTGTTTCTTATTTTATTTAGTAATGTATCATTGTGTTATGTTCTTTTATGTTTTTTTTTTTTGTGTGTGTGTGTGTACCAGGTATTTGATTTTGTATGTTTTTTCCACCAGACGCCCCTGGTGGGCCTTCTCATCCTGCTACCGTTGTTTAGGGCCTCCCTCATCTGCCTGGCTTTGTTCTTACAAAGGCAGAAGATCTGATGTGAGAGGGATGCACTTTGATGAGGTGTGGATTTAATTTCTGGCAGGTAATAATTCACTAACCACAGTGAGTTAATTACTTACTAAGGAGTTGATGAGCTCCACTACTGGAGAATGCATGTCAGATTCATCCATAGGTCCAGTGAAATGAGTCTTCTATACCTCTGACACAAATATACAACATATATTGCTTCACTTTTCTTAGCAGTCGCCTCCACTTCACTACCGCTTTTCCTCTTGCTTCTGGACCTCGTGGGCTCTGACTGACCCTGTACTGCATAGTATCCTGTCACACTGGACAGTAAGCACACAGCAGCACACCTGTGACAATATCCAGTGGTCTCGTGAGCTACTAGTGCAATTTGTTTGTATCTGAAAATGCTTGTAAAGTGAGGTCCATTCATATCTGGGAAAGTTTGCAACTCAAATGTTCACACATTGGGGAGTTACTATATTAAATTGGGAGGAATCAGGATCTCCATGAGAGGGGCAATCTGAAGGAGACAACTTGAAGTGCGGATGGGGTTCAGAAGTCCCTACCCTAAGCAACTGTTGACAGAACAATTCCTCTCTCCAGACTTTTGCTTACAAACCTGCAAATGTAGAACAGAAGTGACCTCCACAGGACTTACTCTTCTGAGTCTCTAGGAAAAAGGAAAGCATAAAAACTAATCTGTAAAAACTTTTACTGCTCCCTGGCCCCTTCCCAGAGTCCAGCTTTAACTGAAAGTGTCTACTCATAGCTAACGGACTCTGTGTATTTGAACTTCTCTGGCCCTTGGTGATAGGCATGGAGGTCTGCTGGAGGGACTGGAACTTGGGCCAGGGCAATCTTCAAGGATGAAACACTAGTTATTTTGAATATCCATGCAGTGATTTTTTATGGGTGATGGAGGATTGGTGCTAAGAACAGCTGGACATGTAGGTTGCAAACAGCGCTAATTTTGGACTTGTTTTGACATATTTCCAGGATGTAGTCCGTGGTTTCCAGGATAAACGGAGTCCTTAAGCAGCGAATGCTACTTTCTATAATATGTGTCTGTCTGAATATTTCTGAAGCACTGAGAAAATCCTACCTAGAATGGAGCAGGAGTCACAGTGGAAAACTTTGGTACTTTCTGTTGGAGCTATCTACCCCACAGACCTATTTCACTCGTAGGCATTTATCCAGGAGAAATACAAATGTATATCTACAAAAAAACTCATAAGATTGTTTATAGCTTTTTCATGATAGTCAGAACCCATAAATAAACTAGCTATCCATCCTCAGGAGAATGATAAACCATAGTAAAGTCATGTAATGGAATATTGCTTAGCAATAATTAAAAGAAATAGCGTCTACCAATATCAGCTTCTGCATGAATTCTTTGCCCACGTACACATGATTTTGTCCTTCTGGAAAGCCCCCGTGCAGCCAGTCTGCATGCCCAGGAGCTGGTTAGCAATATCTTCTCAAAGGAGCCTTCCCTGCTCTGCCATGACTAGGAGCAATTGTCTTGTTCTTCTAGCACTAACCCTACGAGCTTACTTTCTCCCCTTGCCATTCTTTGGGCCTGATACTCTTTGTGTTTTGAATTTACAATTGTTAGTAAGCATGCCTTTGTTTCTTTGCTATATTTTTGCCTCGCTGACAGCCAGAGATCTGTGGATTACAACCACCTTGACCCCTAATAAAGGGGCCACACTAGATGCTCAGTCACTCTGTGTGTGTGTGTGTGTGTGTGTGTGTGTGTGTGTGTGTGTGTGTGTGCTGTGCTTTGATGTGAAGGGTCTAATTCAGGGCCTTCTGCATGCTGCACAAGGGCTGTACCTCTGAGTCATGCCCAACCCCAGGGTTTTTTCATACCTGCTAGATGTAGCATTGCACTGTGCTTTGGCACATTTTTCATTCTTGTAGCTACCCTGATCTTTGTAGGAGGCTCCTCTGGGCCCCTATAGAGCTCTGGGCTGCCAACTTCTCGTGGAGTAATTAAATGACAAATTACCTGCAGGCTCTGAGCTGGAAAACCTATACAAGCACACCTTTTCCATTTTCATAGGATTGAATCAAATCTGAAAGCTTGGGAGGATCCTGCAGCCTTTACTTCCAGAGAGGGAAATCAAGGCTCAAATCCTCAGGACTGGGACTCTGTCAAGGACATAGAGGGCCTCTGTGGTGGTGGTGGGAAATGTTTAACATCTTTTCCTCCAGTTTTCTTAGAGAAAGCTTCTATCTCCACTCTTAAGATAAGACAGGATTGGAGAAACAGTCTCTCCACATCTTCCCCTTTGCCTTCTCTGATCAGAAATATTAGTGTAATGGAAAAATTGCTGTGAAACACTGCCCAGCTTTGAAACAGACCCTGGTCTCCTCTTATGCAGCAGCTCAGGGGCAGGATTTCTGCTACCAAACACAGGCACCAGGGGAAGTCCAGTTTCCCAGGTGATCTGGCTCCCATTGTGTGGTAGGTAAAATACGGGACTAAAGGGCTCCAGTGCCATTATTATGGTTCAACCCAAAGAGAGTTCATCAATGTCCCTCTGCGGGTAATGAAACTGATAGCGGATCTCAATTTTAGAGGGTTCATTGTGTGTGTTATGAGATGTATGATTATCAGTTTATTCTCAACAAATAGAAAATGCCAGTGCAGAGAGTGGGGGATAGCTAAGTCTCCAGCTGGGCACCCAGGATAGTCCCTACAGATTAAGTCATACATGGGAAAATGCAGGTATTGGAGATGGCACCTCTTCTTTTTTGGGAATGGGTAGATAAGGAAGTTGAACTTTTAGAGAAAATGCATGATAAGTAAAGAAACTTATTTAGGAAGAAGATGGTGAGTTCAGCTTTGGCTGAAAAAGTGTAGCCTGCAAAACACCCAGGTAGAGATATCCAAGAAGCAGATGGAGATATCCTAGAAGCAGCTGGAGATACAACGATCTGCATCTTCTGGGAGAGGCTCAGGCTAGAATTTTCGGAGTTAACTTGTACAATTGCACAAACCTGAGCTTGTCTCACAAAGTCAAAGAATGAAATCACAGACAAAAAGCTTGAAGTTAGGAGAGTGTTTATTGAACGAAGACAAAAAATAGCTCCTGGGTAGTATCCAGGAGGAGTATTGGGGGGTTGACTGGGTACTACTTTTGTTTTGGCTTTATATGGATAAACAGAAACTGGAAACTTATTTAGTTATCCAGTGATGACTTACACATTTATGGTTCTGTAGATTTAGAATAACCAATTGGAGTTTAGGCTTTACACTGTACAGCTTAAAGAAAATCAGTTATCTAGACGAGCTCAAGAGAAATTAGTTATTCTGCACTTCTTTGGGAGAGGACATGTTTCTCCCCTGGATTTTTATTTTATCAGTACATGTTTGTACTTCATGCAGTTTACAGTCTTCTTGGGGAGTGGTTACATGTACGTCCCACAGCCTGTTTCTGTTTTTAAAATCCTCTTCCCCTTTCCTCTTCCTCCAGTTCCCCATCTCACTTTAAATTCTTGTTGATATTACTAATCTTAGCTCATGTTATGGCATATAATGTTTACATTCATTAAGATTATTAGGTTCCTGTACATTGCATTTGTATGTTTCTAAAACTCCAACCTGGAGGTAGGGAAGTATTGTAATTAACTTTTGATATTGTGCTTAAGAAGTTTCTTTCCTGGAAGAAAGTCTTATTATCTGCCCGTTTAAAAACTAATATTTATCCTTCTTTTTCTGTGCTTGCTTTTACGTTTCTAAACTTATTTAGCTGCCTGATTCAAATTAGCACTTAACTCAGTATATGTGCTATTTTTTGTACCCAGTTGACTCTCTCCCATGCTCTGTCTTTTTCACATCAGGGAATACATGTATGGCTATATATATGCCCACGGACAGTGTAAAAAGTGAGATAAGAACCAAGTAATAGTATCACTAGACTCTCCAACTTCGAGTGATGGGAGGAGACTGAGAAAACCAACATAATGGAAGGAGAAAGAGACCAAGACTGAACAAAGTTAAAGCCAGGAATACACCAGAACTAATGATGGAAAGGCTGTTCAGGACAAGACCCTCAGAGTGGGACAGGTGCTTGTTTTGTAGCTTTCAGTGTCAAGCAGATGTTTTCAAAGTATGGTTCATAGATCAACTTCAGTGTCTCCTGCCAACCTAGTGGATACGCAAATTCTCCAGACCTACTCCAGACCCTAATCAGAAATGCTAGGATTGAGACCCCGCAATCTGTGCTTTAATAACTTCTCCAGGTAATTATGATATACCTTACAGTTTAAGAATTTCTGGTGTAAGAGATTTCCTTATCACATATGTTTGGTTGGATTTATTTTTAAGTTTTTTTGATATGTGGTCAATTTTGATGTGTGATAAATATTTTAAATTTACTTTTCTAGGTGATTATTGCTAGCATATATAAATACAATTGATTTATATTGATCATTAGCATAGTAGCCTTGCAAATTTCTCTTGTTAATGGTAATAACTGACTTAAGGATTTATTTGTTTGGATTTCCTATATGACTGTTGAGTGATATAGGATGATGATGGAATAACTTTTGTGTTTGGAAATCAGCAGAGCCCTGTGTACTTAATAGAGCTTTGCCACAGGAGAAAGGGAGCCCACAAATTAGATGGCAAAGAATTTTCCAGAAGATTCTGCACTTTCAGAGAACCTATATGAAGTGTGGCCTGAATTGTAGGCAAGCCAGAATCTCCCTTTTTTTTTCCTGTGGGGACAGTCATACTTCTCTAAGAGACCACAGTCAGAAATTAACCTTCATTGACAAACAGTAACTTATTTCTCAGGTAAGGTGGCTTTCTCATTATCTGAATAGGATTCTATACCAGCTGTAGTGGCTAATGATTCTGGCAGCCTGGCCTTAGAGGTGGGACTTTCAGTGAGGAAACAAGAACAAATCTAGTTAAACTAGGATGATTGGTCTTCCTGACCTGTAACTTGGCCTCACAGAGCTGAAGAGAATAGGGAGAGGCTATCAGGGCAATAAGGTCTCATGAAGATTGAGCCTAGATCCTTCTGAGGACTGTGAACCTTCACAGGTTCGTGTTCAGGGAGAACTCTTTCAGATTTTCAGATCTGCAAGCCTGAAACTCATCTCTCCAAGTATCTTCCTGCTTTCAGACATCCTTTCTGCGTACTTGGGAGACTTTGGTGTAAGTTATCAGGTTATTCCAGAATCTTTTAAGATTCAGTGCCTTGGAAAGTTTTGGACCACTGATTGTTATCATCCAGAGGGAGGAAAAATATGACATATCTAGCTACCATCCACTGAGAAGCAATGCTTGGTTATGTTCCTTGTCTACATTCAAGACAGACAAATTCTCATGTGTGATTTCCTAGCCACAGTCAAAGCTTCACCATCTTCCATGCAAGAAAACACATCTTTCTTACAAATAAATGGCACTATTGTAGTGATAACCTTCAATCTTCTCTACTTTTTAGTATTTTTAACAGATGAAATCATTTGCAAATGTCAGTAAGTTATTATTCATAACAGATTACTAGAAGCAAGGCCCACCTGCACATAAGTGTTGAGATACTTCGTTGAAGAACCTCCAGTTTTGAAGTAAGTTTCCAGAGGAAAGAGGAACTTGTGTGTGGAAAGGAGTGACTGAGAAGATAGAGGTATCAAAAAAACAGCCAAGACAGTGAGTTTCAGAAGCCCAGGTGGAGGATCAGAAACCATAATCTCTAGACTCTTCCTCATGATAATATCCCTGGCCAGTAGCTGTGGTGAGTCCTGGGTGTCACTCATCTCACCTGTTCTCCTTCATCACTACTCCTTTACTATGCCTTTATGAGAACTTGAGTTCCTTAGGAGTCTTAGATCTTCATAGTTCTCTCCCAGACAGGTCGGATGCTGAGCACTCAAGTGTTCTGCTTCTGGCCCTACAAGGATCCTGCCATGCTCTATCACAGGTAAATGGCTTCTGAGAAATTCTTTTTCACAGAAGGGAGAACTAGGAACAGTGCAGACACTGAGTCAGAAGATACCAACCATGGATTACAGCTTAAACTCTCTGAACTTTAGAATCTCTTCTTTCATCTCTCAAAATCTGAATGCCAAAAATCACTACATTGAAGCAAAAAACTGCAGTAATAGATATGGGCAAGAATTACTCATGGGTAATGATTTGATGAAAGGACGTTGTTGAGTAGGGTATTTAGTTTTTACATATCATCAAAGTTACTATAAAATGTTTTAACCAAGGTCCTACTCACTTAAAAACTTGGACCAGGGAAAGGACATGTCTTTATAATGCTGGAAGGACATTAGCAAAAATATCCCATTCCTTGCTATGACCATGGAGGGTGAAGACATCCACTCCTAAGAAAGGTCTCAGTTAAATA